ACAATACTTCACATATAGCATGAGCAATTGCCCTGTATTTTGCTTCAACACTTGATTAAGCCAGCACATTTTGTTTCTGCCTTTTCCAAACCAGGTTTCTTAAAACAAAAGTACAATACCTAGTTGTGGATCTTCTATCAGTTTAGCAACCAGCCCAATCGGCATCAATGTAAAGAGCAACATCAAAATGCCCTTGATTGGAGAAAAATATCCCTTTCCCTAGAGCATACTTGAGATATCTTAATATTCGATACACTGCATTAAGATGTGGTTTACATGGTGCATGCATAAATTGGTTGACGACACTGACCGCATATGAGATGTCTGATCAAGTGATCATGAGGTATATAAGCTTGGTCACTATTTGTTGATACTGGTTAGTATCTTTAAGTAACACTCCCCTTTCTCCATGAAGTTTATGGTTGACTTCTATAGGAGCATCCGCTGGTCTAGATCCCAACATCCTCGTTTGTTGCAACAAATCCAACACATATTTTCTCAAGGAGATGGCTATCCCTTTCTTTGATCTTGCCACTTTAACTTCGAAAAAATACTTAAAGGGGCCTAAATCTTTGATATGGAACACATTGCTTAAAAAAGATTTAAGATCCTCAATACCCTTCATATTATTCCTTATCACAACAATATCATCAACATACACAATATGGGCTATAATTCGAGCAATATTGTTCTTCACAAAGAGCATATGATCGGCTTGACTTCTTTTAAACCCAAATTTCAGCAGTGCCTCACTGGATATTTTAAACCACGATCTAAGAGACTGTTTAAGTCCACATATCGCAGTTGCACTCATTTCATGTCTCCCCCATTAATCTAAAAACCAGGAGGCAAGACCAAATAGATTTCTTCTTTGATATCCCCATGCAACAATGCAAGTCCATATATCGTCTACTTTAACTTGCACACATTTCTTGTCATCCCTGTAATCTAAAAACCAAGAGGCATGACCATATAGATTTCTTCTTGGATATCCCATGCAACAAGGCATTCTTTACATCTAGCTATTGGAGTGGCCAAGATTTATTAGCAGCTAGTAAAATAATGAATCCTCCTAATGTTCAACTTGGCCACAGGAGCGAAAGTGTCTTTATAGGCTACACCAGGAATCTGAGTGAAACTTTTTGCAACCAATCTTGCTTTATATCTTTCAATGGTGCCATCAGCTTCGCATTTTACAGTGAATATTGAATATTCACCAACATCCTATGACTTCTTCCCTTTGGGAGAGTGGTTGATTTCCCATGTATTGTTATGCTCAAGTGCTCCCATCTTGTCATCCATGGCAGCCTTCCATTGAGGTTGTGAAAGTTCCTTTGTAACACACGACAAACAGAAGACAAAGCTGATATAAAGGTACGATGACAAGACACAAAATTATAGGATAAGAAGTTTCCTATTGGATGCTAAGTACAAGAACCTATACCCTTGCGAATAGCAATAGGTAAGTCCAAGTTAGGATTCTCTGAGAAGGTGGAAGAATTACCTGAGTCAGAAAGTTCTTTAGTCCGGGTTAGCATTTGAGGTATAATCGTCGAGTTGTACCATTTTCTTCCTCCTGGTATGTCTTCAGCTCCTTTGAAGCAAAATTCTCTTTACACAAAAGTGGGGCGTTAATAGGAAGGGGAACCACTAAGGTGCTCCCCTCACTAAATTGCATTTTATTCTGTCCTTGAAGAGAGCACCCATGACCTGTAAATGCGAAGTATGGAACAGATTCACCAAAAAAAAAAACGGACTTTGTTAATAGGTTCATAACACTTGTGTCCCGTTTGATGGATATCCCAATAAAATACATTTGACAGCTTTAGCATTAAGCTTGTCCCTCTTTGGACCAAGGATTTGGACAAAACATACACAACCAAACACCTTGGGAGGTACAGGAAACATGAGTGAGTCAAGATAAATATTTTCAATAGGAGATTTTCCCTCAAGGACAAGAGAGGGCATGCAATGTATTAAAAATGCAGCAGTGAGAACTGCTTCATACCAGAAAATTTTTGGGACCTTCATTCCTAGTAAACAAGCTCGGGTGACTTCCAACAAGTGTCTGTTTTTTGCCTCAGCAATACCATTTTGTTGAGGTGTGTATGCACACGTTGTTTGGAATGCAACGTGTCCATACATGTTGGTTTGACACATACTGACCCCCATTGTCAGAATGCAAGATGTTAATTTGTGATAAATTTGGAATAGATTAGCAACTTCATCTTTGTGTTTCATTATATAGATAGTTGTTAATCTAACTATCATCCACAAATGTAACAAAGAAACAAAATCCAAATTCCAAACACAGAGGCAACTGGAGAAGCACCCCACACATCATAGTGTGTAAGAGAGAAGGGAACAACATTCTTTTTATTAATAATAATAGGAAATGCAGTTCTACAATGTTTTAACAACTCACAAATGTCGTATTGCAATTGAACTCGACTAGAAACTCGAACATTTTAGGAAATAAAGAATGCAAGTAAAGGATGATGCAAGACAAAGACGGATGTACCACAAAATACATCATTTCTTTATTAGCAATCCAAGACGTGTTGCAGTAGTCAAGGCACAATCAGGAGTCTCCAAAAGGTACAACTCTCCATTTTCAAGACCATGCCCACAATTTAAGGTCTTAGTGAGATTGTTGACTGACAAGAGGTTACTAGAAAGATTGGGAACATGTAAGGTGGATGACAAGTTAATAGAAGGAGTAATATGTATAGTTCCCTTTCCCTTGACTAGAATAAGAGAACCATCTGCTATTTTAAATAATTCATTCCTGAAACAACGAATATAAAAGGAGAAAAGATCAGTCATACCAATCATATGTTCAATAGCTCCAGAGTTAATAATCCAAGGGGTTTCAGATGTATTTATAGAGACATGATGCGCTGATGCAGATGTACCTGATTGGGCACTATGAGATTTAGAGGAAGAAGGGTCTCGAATGGAAGCTTATTGCTTGAGATCCAGCAGCTCTCTTTTAAGAATGTCAGCAACTCTTCTTGAGGTTCAAAGGACATAGTATCTTGCTGCCCTTAAATAGCCAATGCAGCACCTTCACTGATTGTTGCTGAATTTGCCCGAGAAAAGTTTCATCTTGAGCATCCAACCAGATCCCAACACGTATCCTTCATGTGTCGAGTCTTCCCAAAGTGGGTGCATTTTAATTTGTCCTTCTCATCAAATGTAGGGCTTCCACAACTACGTTGACTACCACACCCTCCACCCACCCCTGCTCCCAAAATGTCCTACACCTCAATGACCACTAGAACTTGAGAATAGGGCAAATCTTTCAGTTTCAGCTATAGACTTGCCATTATCTTGCAGCGAGTTTCTTTATGGTGAAGAAGGGAGAAAACAATATGAACTAATAGAAAAGTCTCACCACCAAGAACATTTGCCCTCATTGATTCATATTCCACATTAACTCCCCTCAACAGATCGAAAATCTTCCGTTTAGCTAGTCTCTCTCGTTGTACCTTTGCACAAGATGAACACTCTATGAGCTGATTGTGGCTTATTTCATCCAAAAACCACAAAGATGAACATAATAGTCTCCCACTAACAAGTCATCTTAGAGGCATTACAACTCATAAAGGTCCGAGTCTAATTGGGCTGCATAGAAGAAAGTATCCAATTCATAAATCCCATATCATCAGCCTCCGAATTTGACTATTTAGCATCTGTGAGCTCTGGTTTTCCTACATGGCCATCAATATATCTCAATTTTTTCTTTCCACCAAGAAATAGTCTAACTATCTGGCCCATTCTAAATAGTTTGTGCCATCAAATTTAACTGTGGTAATTTGGAGTCTAGAAGGCTCCATATTTGATGCTTGTAAAGACATTTTCTATCATAGTTGAGATCTAGTTACACCCTCAGATCTTAATTAACTAGGATCATATTACACCCTCTAATCTCTTTAAAACAAAAATTATACAGATCTGGTTACACCCCCAAATCTGATCACACTCCCCTTTTTTTGAAAAAACATAAAAAAATCAGAAGAAAACAACACTACCAATATTTCCTTGATTGGGGTAAACAAACCTTGATCCATCCAAAAACTAGGTTTTCTATAAAACACATGATCTACATCCAGAAATCATAAAAATAACTCACCTTGATAGACTCAATCACTGCTGGAACAAACAAAAAATCTAGGATTTTAGGGCCTGATGATGTCATCTAACCCTAGGGATGATGTCAGCCCTAAACACTATTTCCACACAACTTTTTTCTACTCTGATGACAAGTTCAAAGTAATCTTGAGTAACCAAAAAAGTGAGAAGAAGAGAATAGAACAATTACATAGGACCTAGAGAGAAAGAGAAGAAAGAAGATAAAAAAGAAGAAGAGAGAGAGAGAGAGATGTATCGGAGATATAGAGTGAAGAGGAGAGGAGAAGAGAAGAGTGGCGTGATGGTTCAATGTGACCTCCCCGCCTCTTATTTAGAGAAATAGGATAAAGAAGTCATAAACAAAGATAAAATACAGTTCTGCCCATCAAATACAATAATGCTTAATTAATTTATTTCCAACATACTGCATGTGTTATATGGCATTCAGTAAGGCCGTTCATACCCTGCCATGCTCAGCTCAATAACTGCAATCATATACTGCAGTTTGCACTTCGCACTTCTATTTCATATTTAAGGATATGACAGTCATCTTCAGAGATGTATTTATTTAAAGTGTTAGAACTGCAAGCATAAACTAGGTCGGGAACTTCTCTCCTTGTAAAGCCGATATTTAGTCTCACAGAAAGTAAAAACCCAAGCTAACATTCTTCCTTACAACAAATTTAATCAAATGAGCAAAGCAGAAAAAATCGCTGCCAGTAAGGATTTCTTAACAACATAGAAGATTTGTGGTCATTATAGAATGCATTTACTGATAGCTTTTTTATTATTATTTTAGGCTAAGCCAGCCCTTATTTTGGGGGGACCCACATCATACAGAAAAACATGATGAAAATAAGCAATACCTCATAGATGATCGGCCTATCCATGTTTGGCACCAAGTCTGGTATGACAGCATCAATTGCACCAGTTGCATCAATCAGCTGCAATCGCCCTGAAGATGGAGAAACCTAAACATCAAATACCAATAAAAATAAGGATAAACCTTTTGACAACACATTTAGACATGGTACATATCACAACCAGAAAATAGAATGACAACAAAAGAATGCACCTTATTAACCCTAAAAGTTTAGACATAGTGTATTGGAAAAAGATTTGGCACCAACCTGTAGAAAACCCATCAGAACAATACCAAGATCTCTACTTGATATTATTCGTCGAGTAAACCTTCCATGATTTGAAGAGGGGAGCACACTGTCATCGATTTCATTGTTCCCAATACCTTTCTGCTTCTGAGATGAAAATGTCATCCACAAAGCCTCAGAATGACTGATAAAATTACTAAAGGGCGGCACCTGAAAATGCGAAAAAGATCAGTAAATTGTAAGGCTTGCTGTTTGAAGCATGACATTTCTTTCTCAAAATAGACCGACCATAGTCAGGTAAATATATGCAACGATCCTTAACTAGCTTCAAGGTAGAGATTTCAGATCACCAAAACAGAATTCCCAAACAGTACATAAACACTCAGTTACAAAGTTAGTCATTAGCAGTGTACTAATAAAGCCATTACCTATAACACATTATAACCTCAAGAACACCATACCAAAGTTCAGATTTGACTCAGTTTTATATATATTGAAGATGAATTATTTTAGTTATGTGCCTTTTTTGTGGGCCAATAGGGTGTTCTTGTCTTATACTTATGAATATTAGTATAGTAACTGGGGGAAATAAGGGCATTACTGCAATTTGTACATAAGTTAAGTTCACAATTAAGATTTAAAGGGGCATGGAAGCCAAGAAACACCAATTTGGACTGCCTCCAGCCACCTCTCTCCATCTTCTTGCCTTCTCTCTTCAACTTTCTCTCTCTGACTTTTCTCTCACTTCCTCTCATATCTCTCTTCCTCTTATTTGATATAATTCTTCAAACATGGTATCAAAACATGGACTCCATATCTCTTCCTATTTTTTTCCTTAAAAGTAAAAAACAAAAAAAAAAAATTCCTGATTTCATCAAAGGCACCTCAATTTTCTTTCTTCTTCTATGTAGAACAAATATGGTTATTTGCACTTACTGTTAAGACTTTGTGTTGCTCATGTTTCCTCCTTTGGATATGAAGAATCAAGAGGAATAGTGATTGAAATATGTCAAAGTTTGTTGCAGATACCGTAGACAGATACAGGAAGTTCATGCAAAGCTCAACTAGGGAGATCTATGTTTGTCTACATCTAAAAGAGAAGTATTCCACCATGTAACCTGCTGTTTGTACTGTCTTTTGGGGTTTACAATATTCAATGGATTGATTTAATGCCTTCAAGTGTATCTGGCCTGCTATAGTATTGTGTATCGATGTATTCTCCTAGTTTGTGTGCATTTTACCCTCATGGCTAATGAAAGCAAGTTCGGAATTTCCAGCATCAATGAAGTGATTGCAATGCCAGTTACCTCTGTGAAATTAAATGGGTCCAATATCCAATTATCCCTTATGAGCTCAGTCTATAAAGGTGTTTCTTGGTGCCAAGGGTAAATGAAGTTCTTGACTGCAAATGGGGCCCAAAGAATCAGATAGTAGGTATGAAGAATGGCTTAAGGAGAATTATCAATTCATGACCTGGTTAGTATAGACCCCATGTGATTGCAAATGTGATGTTTCTTGATACTATTAAAGAAGTTTGGAAGGCTTTGCATTAGATGTACTCTTCTGATAAGAACATTTCTTGAATTTATAAACTTTATGAGAATATCTTTCTTTTACAACAAGGTAACTACAAGTGAATTTATCAATTGTAGTATTAGTGTATATTACAATTCTCTTCGAGGCATGTGGGAAGAGTTAAACATGTATCAGCCATTATTTATATGGAGTTACTGAAGAAAGCAACAAGATGAATTTCGAGTTGCAAAATTCTTATCCAGCCTTAATTCTGAATACTAGACTATTCGTAGATAGATATTAGCCGAAAATGAACTCCTGTCTCTAAATAATGCATTCTCCTATCTTCAACAAGATGCCATATCTACACCTTCATCCGCCTCTAGTGTTAGTGATGGGTGTGCATTGACCTCATCCATGGGTAGAGGTGATGGGGACAAAGGTCATGGTGGTGCTAAAGGAGGATGTGATCTTGATTTGGGGGGAGGTTGTAGTAGAGGCTATGGTAATAGAAAATGCACTCATTGTGGACGAATGGTTTGTTAATCAGGGGGAGTTAAACAAGGTATGCAAGTTGGAGAAAGACATTTATAGCCGGAAGTAGTTCGCACGTGCATAGTTTGATAAGTTCAACAAAATTTTTATAGCATATGGGTTTCAAAAAAGCCATGTGGATCAATCAGTATTCATTCAGAGACAACCCAAGGGAGCAATTATCTTGGTAGTTTATGTTGATGATATTATCATCGCAGGGAGTGATCAGGAAAGAATTAATAAATTGAAGAGACACCATGTTCAGACAAAGGATCTGGGACAACTAAGATATTTCTGGGGATTGTAGTGGCTTGGTCCAAGTACGGTATTGGCTTGTCTCAAAGAGAATATGTAATAGATTTGCTGACAGAAATAGGGATGCTTGGTGCCAAGCCAGTTGACATGCCAATGGATCCAAGTACTAAATTACCAGTGGATCAAGGAAGGGTACTTGAAGAACCAGGTAGGTACAAAAGGCTTGAAGGTAGACTTATCTACCCAACAATCACTCTGTCGGACATAGCCTTTGCAGTGAGTGTTATGAGCCACTTCATGCATCTCCCAGGACACCACTCTAGGAAGCGGTAAGACGAATCTTGAAATATTTGAAGGGGCTCCAGGATATAGGCAGAACAGTCATTTCAACAAGTTAGAGCTATTCTATAGTTGTTGGAAATGCCTATGACTCCAAATTGTCTCAAGAATCGAAATCATGAAATTGCAGCTGGGTAGATGATTCTTCTTGTTGGAATAGTTGTCTGTACAATGCATCACATGACGCAAGAATCCTACCATTTGGGAATCGTGCTCCAATATAATACGAATCAAGATTCCTACTCTGTTGGAATCACGGTTCCATCAACTTCGAACCGAGACTCCTAACTTACTATAACCTTGCACCAAACCACTTGGAACTGGGCAAGAAATTATGAAGATACAGGTTTCAAAAGGCAAAGATTTAAGGTTTGAAATAATCTAAAAGCAAAAGTTTGTTAGTATTAGACTCCATATATTGAGTACGTTAACCCAAAGCCCCATATTATTGGAATCAATGTCTTTGATAGCCCTCCCCTAAAATTGGGGTCAATGTATTGAGTGCCCTTTATCACAGTTCTCCATAAGTACTGGAAACAAGGTCGAGTACCCTTAACTAAGTACTTTCCTAGAGTTTTTAGATTAAATAATGAAATAAAATTAATAAATTAATAATATCCGTTTAAAAATAATACATTTATTACAAATTCTTGAAATCTAGTAATGATGTAAACTAGAGGCTGTCAAAACCCATAGGAATATTAGATAACCCATTTATATTAATTAGTAATAAATCTTTAAATAATTTCTTTTTCAAATTATGTTTAAAAAATTCCAAGCATTCAATAAAATTTTGGCAATCACTTTGATGCCGTGACTCTCAATTCCAAGAACCTCTGATCGCTATTCTTAACATTTGGAAGCAAGGTATCATATTGGTTGAATCATGATCTTGAGCACCCGTGAATTGCAAATTTCGGTGATGTGGAACCTATATTCCAAAGGCATCAGAATGAGATTCAAAAAATAGGGAATCATGATCCCTAACTTGCATGGATCGGGATTTGTGGAGATTCCTTCATGAAAATGCAGGGTGGAGGACTCCAGTAACGATAAGCTGTTCTAGTGCTAGTTGGATAGGATACACATCATATAGAAGAGCAACTGCAGTTTATTGTACTTTTGTTGGAGGAAACTTGGTGACATGAAAGAGTAAGATACTGAACGAGGTAACCAGGTCTAGCGCAAAGGCTGAATAGAGAGTAATGGCCCACACTACATGTGAGTAATTGTGGCTAAAAACCTTGATACAGGGGATGGAATTCATGGTTATTGAACCGATGAAGATGTTTTGTGACAATCAAGCAGTAATCCAGATAACCAGAAACCTAGTATTCCAAAAAATAAAGCATATGGAAGTGGATTATCATTTTATTCAGGAGAAAGTAGCAAGTAAGCATATATCTACTTCATACATGAAGTTGAGGGATTAGTTGGCCGATCTATTCACCAAGCCTCTTGGTAGAAACTAAGCTTAGATGATTTGTCCCAAGCTCGACATGGGTGGTATTTATGCTCCAACTTGAGGGGGAGTGTTGAAAATTTAGTTCTTTTACTTTTGTGCATTGTTTGTGGGCCAATAGGGGCAATCTTGGGAATGGGGTTGAGGTCGTGGCGGTAGTACCCCTTGAGCCTCAGCTACCGGTCTAGGTTTCCATTCCCACTGACACATTCGAAAACCGCTAATTATTTCTAAAAACGGGTAGGTGCATGTATTCCCCACTGATCTACCCAAAAAAATTAGGGGCAATCTTGTCCTTTTTCTTATACTTAAGGGGATTGGAATAATAACTAAGGGAAATAAGGGCATCACTGTAACTTGTACACAACTGAAGTTTATAAATAAGATAGGGAGGGGTGTGGAGGCCAAGAAACCCTAAGGGGACTGCCTCTAGCCACCTCTACCCTCTTCTAGTCTTCTCTCTTCAACTCTCTCTCTCTCTC